AAAAAAAAAAAAAAAGACAAAGAGAGACCCTGAGGAACTATCCCAGATTGGAGGAAACTAAGAGGACATGACAACTAAATGCAACCTGGAATCATAGACTGAATCCTGGGCCAGAGAAAGGACGTTGGTGGGGAAACTGGTATAAAGGGCATAAATCTTGTAGATTAGTTACTTGTACTGCAATATTAATTTCCTCATTTTTTAAATAACTGGGCTTTATTATGTAATATGCCAACATTTGGGGAAGTTGAATAAAAACATACAGGAAATCTTTTGACTATGTTTTGCAGTTTTTCTACAAGTCTAAAATTATTTAAAAACACAAAGTTTAAAAAATCAAATAAACATAATTGCTTGAAACAGTAATTATTTTATTATATTCCACGATGTTGTGAGTCAGGAATTTGGGCAAAAGTCAGCCAGGCAATTCTTCTGCAAAGATACCTACAACACATTCAAAGTCACAGGCAGCGGTTGGAAGGAAGGGAGGGCATTGAAAAGAAGAGAAAAGTCACAGGCAGGTGCAATGGAGGGAGGGCAGAGGGCTGCTGATTATGGTACAGGACTCATCCATGATGGAGCCCTGGGGAGGCAAGAGCTTCATAGGTAGACACCGGCCTTGTCACCTCAGACTCACCTGTGGCAGGACCAGGTACTGAGGCCAGACTGAAAGCACAGGCTCTGCCCCTTTTTTTTGAAAAAATAACAAAGTTTCTTTCTCTTGAAAACATGAAGTTCTTTCCTAACTTTGTTCTTTTGCTTTTTTTCTCTCTCCCTCCCTCACTCCCTCCCCTTCCTACCCCACCGCACTCTGTCTTTTTCTCTTTCTTTCTCTGACAGGGTCTTGCTCTGATGCCCAGGCTGGGGTGCAGTGATGCCATCATGGCTCATGGCTGCCTCAATCTCCAGATTTCAAGCAATCATCCCAGCTCAGCCTCCCAAATGGCTAAAACGACAGGCTTGCACCACCACGCCTGGCTAATTTTTGTATTTTTGTGTGCAGATGAGGTCTCCCTGTATTGTCCAGGTGGTCTCAAACTCCTGGGCTCAAGTGATCCGTCCACCTTGGCCTCCCAAAACACTGGGATTACACGTATAAGCCACCACACCCAGCTTGCTAACTTTGTTTACATTGGCTAATGAAAGAGTTTTAAGTTTAGACCCTACAAGGTATAAAGAAATAACTTTAGTTATGCTATCAGATGTTCCGTGATACTCAAATGTGCAACTGTGGATAACTTGGGTTCATGAGGTTTTTGGATTGTCAAAAGAATAACTGTATGATGAAACTACGCAGAAAAAGCAAAGTACAGAACAGTATGCTACCATTTGTGCACAGGAATGGGATATATGTGCTATAAATACATTGAATTTATTGGACTTATACCCAGGGACCAGAACTCTCAGTGGCCTCATGTTCATACTTTTGCAAGCACATGTATAGTATCCTTTTTTTTTTTTTTTTT